TCGTGTCCGACTCTGTGATCCCATGGACTGTAGCCTGCCAGGCTCCTCTGTCCATGGGGATTCTCCAGACAAGAATACTGGAGTGGGTTGCCATACCCTCCTCCAGGGGATCTTCCCAACCCAGAGACTGAACCCAAGGTTGCTAATTAGCTCATCTTAAGGAGATTATCCTGGATTGTTGGGATGGGCCAGTGTGATCACAAGGATCCTTAAACATAGAAGAGGGAGGCAGAAGAGGAATCAGCCAGAGGGAGATTTTGGAAGAATAGTCAGAGAGATACAAGGTTGCCAACTTTGAAGATGTAGAAAAAGTGTCATGGGCCAAAAACGCAGGTGACTTCCACACACTGGAGAAGGCAAGGAAACAGATTCTCTCAGAGACTCCAGAAAAGAATGCAGCCCTACTGACACCTTGATTTTAGCCCATTAGATAAAAACCTGTGTTGCTTTAAGCTACCAGTTTTGTGGTAATGTGTTACAGTAGCCATGGAAACCTCTTACAGGAGCATTTTCTAAATGTAGTATTTTCTGGGAAGTATTTGCATCATGTGTTACACACATGTGTTACAATATATATTAGAAGCCCCAGTTTTCAGATTACAATTTGAGCAGGAAGTCTGGCTGGGTGGGCCAGGCACAGTACCAGAATGTCAGCTCCCTGGGAGGTTCCCAGAGTAACATGCCCCTTGAAACAGGTCTTTGAAAGTACAATGGTATACAGTTTCATCCGCTGCTTTAGGGATGAACTCCCAACAAGCAAATTGTTTCTTGGAGCTTCTTCTCAGAAGTGGTAACTGTTGGTGCTAGCAGGCCACAATGTGGGGGGCAGGTGTGGAAATGGTTAATGAAAGTAAACCAGAGTCAGCTGTCAAAAGCTGCTGTGGAAATTCTCTGTGCATTTGATGACCACACTTCCTCAGCAAGGCTGTGTTACCACCCAGAGTTTGTAAATGAATCTTTCTTTTCACAATGAAGAAGAAAACACAAACCCAAGAGTCAAGGCAGTCTACACAGCATTCCTGGGATCCGAGTCAGCCAGCAATGCCACACTTCAATCGCTCTGCACAGGTCGCTTTTTCCTGTTTATAGCTCAAAGGTTAAGCTCCCTGCATGGTGGGGAGGAAGTCTTGTCACAATCCTCTGCCAGTAATAAATATTGGTCCTGGGACATCAGTCTTAGCAGTAACGTAGGAGGTGTCATTTGAGTTCTCAGGCCAAGAAGTTGCTAGACATTTATGAGATTATCTTAGGTCTCATGACTTATGGGAAAAGGAAGTCCTCCAATTCTGGGTGTGGTAATATCTGGGGATTACCACACAAGGGACCACATACTGTGGCCATATATAGAGTCTGTAAGCTCTTTGGGGAGTCTTTGTGAACTGGGATTTTTCACAGTATCTCCAAGGAACTCTGTTAGAAAAGCTGTAGTTTGTGGATCTCTTACACAGGGCACAAGACCACGTGGACTCCCTAATGTATCCCCTTTTACTGATGTATCCTAATTTCAAATAGTTTTCCAGAGGGCATTAAGGTGGATGACCAGGTCTACACTTATATTTAGAGCAGGCCAGGCCATCAGCTGGACCATCTGTGGCCTCTCTGTCACTCTTGTATTTTTCTTTTTTTGGCTGCACTGGGTCTTTGTTGCACCGTGTGGAATCTTTCATTGAGGAACATGGACTCTCCAGTTGTGATGTACAGGCTCCAGAGTGTGAGGGCTCAGTAGCTGTGACATGTGGGATCTCAGTTACCCGACCAGGGATCGACCCAACCACATCTCCTGAATTGCAAGGCGTATTCTTAACCACTGGACCACCAGAGAAGTTCCTCTATCACTCTTTCAGAATCACTCTTGAAAGCTATCCCATTTGAACAGCCTTTGCCCTGCACTGTGGGGCTTTGCCCGGTTTCCTGACGTAATTTTTCCTTTTGCCCCTAGTAGAAGGGTGTTGTCACTGACTCACCTTCCAGGCTCTCCCCATCTGAGTTCAGTGAATTGGTTAACTTCCACCTGATGTGGTTGCAAAGAACTGGAGGACCTATAGAATGCCACTGAACCTCCACATGGACCATATCCAGGTTCCTGGTGTTATGGCTGTATCTGTCAGCTCCTGTCCTGAGCTGCACTGACCTTCCTTCAGCCTAAGAATTCGTTCTCCCCTAGGCAGTCAAACCAAGAGCCTTGAGGCCTGACAATCAGTGGTCTGGATTCTGGGTCTTGGTTACAGGATTCAAAACAACTGCCTTAGAGATGGAGCCCATGTAACAATTAAAGGCTGATTTCGTGACCCATCTAGTCCTGGTCCCAAAGAGAGACTAGACCAAGTCGGGGATTCTTGTAGACTGTATTGTGGTGACTGGCAAACCTTACCTCATTTATTATGGGTATTGACAGACGTAGTGCAAGAGATGGGTGTACATCGATATCTGACTGCAGCGTGGCCCCCATGGCTCTCTCAGCATGCCCTATTTCCAGGAAGCTGATTTGGAAGGCTACATTCTTCTCCCTTCTGTGAAGTTATGGAGCTTCTAGAGGTTTCTAACAGCTGTGCAAAGGAACACTTTGAATTGCCTAAACCCTGTCAAGGCAGTGAATCAAGGGCTACAGGCATCAAAAAGTGAGCCCATGCCAAAACCCACAAACAAACCTCCACATGTTCTTTCCAAAACTAAAACCAATAGGAATCAATAGAGCAAGGACAGGATTAACTGACCTGCACTTCCACTCGCCCGTCTTCCCCATCCCTGGCCTTCTGGTATAGCTAGAGGACCGTGAGCTCATGCATATCACATTGAGCTCATGTACATTACATTTCTGCATGCCTCATGTGTGTCCCTTGTGAGCAGACTGCCCTTTGTTCCAAGCTATCTTTTTCAGATAGTGTCTTCCTCAGAGCAAAGTACAGGCCTGCTTGCTAACTATTACTTCAAACCTGGTTTCCTAAAGTCTCGCAATGGGCCTCACTGTATGGGCAGGTTACCTGGCCCTCTTTGTGTTGCTTTTGGGAACTGGGACTCAGGAATCACCACAGGAAAATGTCCGTACTCTTGCTACTGTTGCTGTGGATAAAGAAGTCCTTTGTTTCTGATGCAGAGGTCTTCTGTGTTCTGCCAGCATCCACGTGGCAAGTTAACTTGTTAACTTGCAAAGTGGGTAAAAAAATCTGAGAGCCTTCACAGTTATCGACAGCTTCTTTTTTTTTTCTCGTATAACACTCCTCCTGACCCACCAGCCCATGCCCCTCAGGCCTGTGATCCTTAAAGCCACTTTGGTAGTTTGGGGCCAAGGGGAAACTACTCCTACAGAGATGGAGACAAACCGAAAAACCAAATTAAAGAGCAAAGTTGAAGCTAGGGCAGGACTGAGATATCAAGAAGCTTGGTTTAAACCCAAGACTGGGGACAGCTTGTACTTCTGGGCTGTTTATAGCTATATCGTTGATTATATGTTCCAGTCAACTGACAGGCAATTCTAAACCTGCTTAGGTAAACAAACTCATTGATTTTCTCATATGTAAAATAAAATGAGTTGGATTACATTATTTCGGAGGTTCTTTCCAGCTATGACATTTGTGCTTTATGAATGTGTGACAGAGCTGCCTACTGCACACACTAGGCACTCAACCTAATTTAAAATAATGATTGCAAAGAGCACTGTGAAGTAGTAGAAAGAACATAGCATTATAACTTAAGAAATCTGAATTCCAAAATGAAAGGTAATATAGTCTGTGCTGTGTGCTTAGTCACTCAGTTGTGCCCAACTCTGGGACCCACCGACTGCAGCCCACCAGGCTCCTCTGTCTAAATGTGTATAAGGTCTTTTAATAATCAAATAACCCATCTTTAATTTTTTGAGACAGAAGAAGGATATTTATGAGATCTAGCTAAAAAGTGGATCACATCGTCTCAGGTTTGGGTTATGAAAACACTTCTTTCTACTAATAAAGTTATTTACTATTGGGAAAAAAGGAAGCCTGAATTCCAGGCCCACTGGACAAGTGACTTGACTTAGACTGAGGAGGCAAGATGTTTTTAGGTGGCTCAAGAGTGTGCATTAAATCACAATGAAAAAGTAAATTTCTTTTTAATTCTCTTTTTATTTTTCTGATTATGCCAAAGGGAATGAATGAGTGAAAGTCACTCAGTTGTGTCCGACTCTTTGCAACCCCATGGACTATATAGTCCATGGAATTCTCCAGGCCAGCATTCTGGAGTGGGTAGCCTTTTGCTTCTCTAGGGGATTTTCCCTACCCAGGGATTGAACCAAGGTCTCCTTCATTGTGGGCAGATTCTTTACCAGCTGAGCCATAAGTTCCGTTTACTGTTAGTATGTCTTTGTGTTTAGCTGCTAAATTGTGTCCCACTCTTTTAAGACCCCCTGGACTGTAGCCTGCCAGGCTCCTCTGCCCATGGGATTTTCCAGGCAAGAATACTGGAGTGGGTAGCCATTCTCTTCTCCAGGGTGTCTTCTCGACCCAGGGATGGAACCCACGTCTCCTGCATTGCATTCTTTACTGCTGAGTCACCAGGAAAGCCCTACTGTGTCTTTAACAGCTCGTTAATATGCACTAATTTTCCTTTTCACAAAGAAAGAGAGGTCTCAAGCTCAGAGACTTCACAGACTGCACTATGAAGGTCACTGTTCCCTGACCCACAAAATGGGAAGAGTAATATCTCCCTCAGTTTGTTAAGAAGGAAATAACATAGCACCCGAAACCCTCAGCCCAGGGCCCAGCTGGTAGATGGCGTCTGATAAAGAAGAAAGGTTAGAGAACCGCGGAGCTTCGGCTGGCTCGGCCTGCGGTACAGGGGGCTCCGCGTAGCCGCGTGAACGGAGCCGCCCACGCTGACCCTTGCGGTGATTTCCCCCGCACCTGCCCGGCCAACTGAGGCCCCCGTTGACCCGGTCATCTCCCGCACTGAGCAGGGCGGTCACTCCCGCGCAGCCCCCTCAGGTACAGGAGGCACCTGGGCCAAGGCCTCCCTTGGCGGGGCCAATGATGGCGTCCGTGGACTTCAAGACCTACGTGGACCAGGCATGCCGCGCGGCTGAGGAGTTCGTGAACGTGTACTATAGCACCATGGACAAGCGGCGGCGGCTGCTGTCCCGCCTGTACATGGGCACGGCCACCCTGGTGTGGAATGGCAACGCCGTCTCCGGGCAAGAGTCCCTGAGTGAGTTTTTTGAGATGCTGCCTTCCAGCGAGTTCCAGATCAATGTGGTAGACTGCCAGCCTGTCCATGATGAAGCCACCCCGAGCCAGACCACGGTCCTTGTGGTGATCTGTGGGACAGTGAAGTTTGAGGGCAACAAACAGCGGGACTTCAACCAGAACTTCATCCTGACAGCACAGGCCTCACCCAGCAACACAGTGTGGAAGATCGCCAGCGACTGCTTCCGGTTCCAGGACTGGGCCTGCTAGCGGGGTGGCAGGACACCCCCAGCCTGAACCCTGGGCTCACTCAAGCTTGAGGGGCCCCTGTCTGGGCATACAGTTGTTTGTCACAGCTGCCTTTTTGAAGTAGTAAAATATTCTATTTTTCTATTTGCCCAGTAGAGACTCTGGTTCTGGAAATTCTGATGAATAAAAGGTTCATACAAATGTTGAAAAAAAAAAAAAAAAAAAGAAGAAAGGTTGATAATTTAGCTCAGCATCTATCCCGGTGCAGCCCTGGCCCTTCACTCCCACAGCCTCATGATAACCCTGTGCGGTAGGCGCTGTTATTCCCGCTCAATAACCCCACGAAGTAGATCTGGTTCTCCTACTGTTACAGATGAGTGAACTAAGGCTCAGAGAGGTTAAGTAACTTGCCTGGAGTTTTAGAACTGGTAAGTGGCTCCAGGTGAGGTTCAAACCCCACTCTCTCTGACGACAGAGCTCTACTCTTCCCCCTCCCACCAACTATGACGCCAGACCTGGTTAAATAGGAATCCCTTGGCTAGCGGTGGGGACAGGGGGTCACAGAAGGAACTCTGAATCCCTGTCTTGCTGGTGAGCATCCTCACTTCCACTGCAGTCTGGGACAGCCTCAGGGACCCTGGTTCCTGGGCCTCTTTTCCCGGTGTCTCCCTTGTCCCCATTTGTCCAGTGGAAAAGTCTCTGTCTTCATTCAGTGATTGGAGTCCTTTCATTAGCCTCTTAACTCTGTTGCTGGGTCTCCACCACCTTCTGCTGGGCTTTTATTCTACAACCATCTTGCCTGTTTAGACTTTGGCCAACTGCCTGACATTGGATCCATGGAACCTCCACCTCCCTTTGCTCCAGTTTGTCATGAGCAGGTGTGTGGGCAGCATTTAAACTGCGTCTCTCTCGGGCCACTGCCAGTCCACGATTCAGGCCACCATTGGCTCTTGACTGAAAAACTGTAACAGACTCCATTCTTGCTTAACTCCCTTCCCTCTCCAAAGTACAGCTAAGAAAAGTTTTCTGACGTGCCACCCGATTGTGAAACTCTCATGTTTATCCTTCAGCATTTCCTTTGGATTAATATCTTGACCCCTTAGTCTGGTTTTTAAAGACCTTTGTGAACTGGTGCCCACTGAACCCTTCAACTTATTATCTCTGCAGTCCTTGTTCCCTGTGAGCTGGTCATGTTGTCACTAACTGAGGTCTCTGAATGCTCTGGATGTCCTTGGCACACAGTTGGTGCACCTTTACATGCTCCAATAGTGTACTGCGTCATCCACTATTGTAATGAGGCAGAACTATTCTAGTGGAGGAGCTAGGAGCCTAGGCCTTGGAGTCAAAGCATAGATTGACATTCTAGTAATGCCACTTGCCTGAGCTGTATGACCTTGGGCAAGTCACTCAACCTCTCTGTGATTCCATTTCCTTGTCTGTAAGATGAAGATAGTAACAGTATCTACTAATAGGATTCTTGTGAGGACTACATGAAACAATGCATGGCCAATGGCTTTGCACAGAGTTCAGTGCATAGTGAACATTCAATAAATACTAGTTATTGTTATGTCACCACACTCTATAATGTAAAGATCAGTCCCCTGTTTTGTCTTTCTCTAAGCATCTTGAGGGCAGAGAACGTCTATTTCACCGTGAAATCTTTGGGTGCTGTGAGGAAATTAACAAGATGGCACCAGTCAGGCTCTCTCAGCCCTCCTTCTCATGCCTTCTCACCCCATGTTCTGTAAACAATGACTTTGCACGACTATGTAACAGCTGAGATGACTTATAGCACTGCACATGTGCGTTACGAGGTATGCACTTGGTCACAAGCTACACACTTGGTCACAAGCTACTTTGTGCCGTAGACCTGTGTGAGCTTCACCATGAAAGCCCTGGCTGCTGCTGCCCTGCAGCTACATTGGAATGCATCATGATTATGTTATATGAGGTTAACGTATGGTTATGGTTATGGTTATGTTGTGGCTGCTGCCACAGCTGCTGCATCAGCCAGGAGAGAGGTTGTCTTATGGCTGCCATGCCAGCCAGGAGAGAATAAATCTGTCTGCAGCTCCTACGGCTCCTCGAGTCACCTTCCAGCCTCTTAGGTCAAGCCTTGCCTACCATGGGTTCAGTGAACAAGGCGCACAGTGTGAATAGCAAGGCAACTGGCATCATGAACAGGATCAGCAATACTTGTGCCCAGCCTAGAAGCTGACATATAGGGTACTCAGTACATATTTACTGAACGAACGCATGAATGAATGACTGTCTTGCTCCCTGGTTTAGCTAAGTCAACTTTGCTTGATCCCGCTTAGGTAGTGTTGGACTTCCCTGGTAGTCGAAGTATTAAGAATCCACCTGCTAATGCAGGAGACTCGGGTTAGGTCCCTGCCCCTGGTCCAGGAAGATTCCTCAAACTGCGGACTCATACTGAGCAACTAAGCCCAAGCACCACAATGACTGAGCCCACCCTCTAGAGCCCAGAAGCCTCAACGACTAAGCTCAGGTGCTGCAGCTACAGAAGCCCTCAAGCCCCCCAGCCCTGGAGCCCACGCTCCACAACAAGAGAAGTCATGGCAAGGAGAAGCCTGTGCACTGCGACGGAGAGTACTCCCCACCCACCGCATCTAGAGAAAGCCTGCATTCAGCAATGAAGACCCAGCACAACCAAAATCAACAAATAAGTGACGTCAATCAAGGTAGAAATACCCCCAGGAAGGCTGGAAGGAAAATCTCTGACATTGTCTGTCCTCCACCTCCCTTTTCTCTAGTTTGTCATGACGAGGTGTGGGCAGCACCCAAACAGACCAGGACAATCATGCCTTCGATGGGGGTTTGCCGGACCACGCCCTGTTGGGTGCTGAGGATACCCAGGGAGGAGGGGTAGGGTATGAGCCCTGACTCCAGGAGCTTCCTGAGGGGTGGCCGGGTCTAGATCTGACAGGCCAGGCAAGGCGATGGGCAGTTCCAATGCAGGGTGCACTCAGCAGACATGAGGATCTGACCTAGCTGCACAACTGGGAGTCAGGGTGTAAGTGCAGGACCAGGGAATCTGGTTCCCAGGATCTGGAGCAGCAAGTCAAAGCTTAGGGCAGAAGGTTAGCCACGCTAAGAAGAGGCAGAGTTGGGGCCAGCAAAGGTTGGATTCCAGCAGGTGAAGCCCTGCACCAGTGAGGGGGCCATAGTCTTCTTGCTCTTTATTTTTTTGTTCCTTCTTCTCTTAAGGCAAAGAGAAAGTCACTCAGAATTTCTCATCTCAAAAGTAAGGGTAACTATAGGAGCAGCAGCAGGCACAGGCCAGTATTCAAAAGCAGCTTTGGGTCTTCTGACTCCTCAGGAAGGCAGTAGCTATGGGGTTGGCCCCTGGGACCTGCTCCTGGGCTAGCTGCCGGCAGCATGGAGATGCAGGAACGCGGAGCCCCAGGGCATGAGGTTGGGGGCCTGATTTAAGGCAGCTTTGCGACCTTGTGTAAGTCACTGGACCTCTTGGGCCTCCATTTCTCCACTTAGAAAAGGAGGGTTTGGACAATGAAAAGGGTTTCCAACCTTCAAATTTAAAGACTTCTTTTTCCAAGCAAAAAAATTTCAAAGACTCCACAGGATGGTGGTGGTCATTTTGGTAGCTATGGATCAATATAAAATGATAAAGAACAATCACTTTGCTATCTTTTAAAGGAATTTGCATTTTATCAACCACAAGAGCATCTGTTGTCATTTACAGGACTGCAACACCTTTAAAGGTCCAGTGTCAGATCCTTCATGAAAAGCTTCTACCCAGACCCAACCAGCAGAACTGTCATCTTTCTTAGGACTCATAGAGATTAGTCACCTATACATCTCACTTGAAAAGTGAGGGACACCACAGTACTGGGTGAAAGTTTTTCAGACTTATTCCTTATGAAGTCCATCAGTGATGTTAATACAATGGAACAAAATTTGTGAAAGCAGGGGTGATGGGTGACATTTGTCACTTTTTGGCTGCCCAGCTTCAGAATCCCTCCATAGGTGTGTGGAAGACTTCATCTTAAGTCTTAGTAGTAGACATTAGATTATCATGTTGTGCTTGTAATCAGTCGTGTCTGATTCTTTGGAAACCCCTGGACTGTAGCCCCAAGCAGCTCCTTTGTCCATGGGATTTATCGGGCAAGAATATTGGAGTGCGTTGTCATTCCCTCCTCCAGGGGATCTTCCTGACCCAGGGATTGAACCTGCATCTCCTGCTTGGCAGGCAAATTCTTTACCACTGAGCCATCAGGGAAGCCTGGAAATTAGAGCCCACCGCTCACCTCTCACTACAGAGGCTGAAAATGCCAGACACTTGCTTCCCAGCCACATTTATAGCCAGGGCTTAGACATGTGACCTGGACTCAGCCAATCATGTGCGGTGCCCTGAACTCTGACTAAGAGACCACAGAGTCAGCTCCTCAGATAACCTTTTGGGGTGGGGTGGTAGTGGCTGCAGGAACCATGTCTAGATCCAAGGGTGTCAGGAACAGCACGGTCATCACCCAGGCTCTGACCCTGGTTGTGCACAGGTTTCCCAGGTTTCTGAGGCCAGGCCCAGCTTCTGTGCTACCATTTTGGCCATGTTCCTGGCTACTTACCCACATCCTTGGTCTCATTCATGTGCTAAGCCTGGCTCTCCTGCCGTCCCAGAGATTCTGTGGGTTATTCAATATCCTTCCCATTAATTCCTCTTCTGCTTCACTTATCCGGAGTCAGTTCCGGTTGCATTTTAAAGTTAGTGTGCATGCTAAGTCACTTCAGTCATGTCTGACTCTTTGCAACCTCACAGACTATAGCCCGCCAGGCTCCTCTGTCCATGGGATTCTCCAGGCAAGAGGATTGGAGTGGGTAGCCATTCCTTTCTCCAGGGGCTCTTCCTGACCCAGGGATCGAACCCAGGTCTTCTGCATTGCAGGCAGATTCTTTTACCATCTGAGCAACCAGGGAAGCCCTTTACAGATGAGAAAACTGAGGTACCAAGGAGTAGAATAATTGGCCCAAGGTCAAGATTT